AGCGACCAGCTCCCTCTGGTAATCTTCACACTCTTGTAAAAGTGATGTTTTAGCCTACATGGCTGAGCACCTGTTGCTGCTTTAAGTTTCTGCAGCTCTTTTTGGGTGGTCTCATTAGGACAACCATCTAAGTGGCATTTTTTAATCCTTATTTGTTTGCAAAAGTGTAAGTCAAATCCCCATCACTCCCTCTCCAAAGCTGATTTAGTACCAGGGAATGATTACTTTAAAAAGTGCGTTACCAGGTTTAATCACAACTTGGCTGAAGACTGTTGTGGCAACTGCTTAACGAATGCAGTCATTTCTTACTCCTCATCCTTCTTGCTGTGCATTTTATCTCCCTGTTGTTGTTACGGCTTGGCTGTGGCTTTTCTTTATCCCCTTCTATTACTTGTGGGAGCAAAGGACAGGGAATGACTTCATATCACCAAGCCAGGAGGCTGTTCCTTTCATAGCAGAGGACTATTAACCTTTCATAAACTAACCCTGTGTGTGTGTGTGCACAGTGGTTCTGCGAAAGGCATTTGGCCCTTTGCCTAATTTCTCCTCTAATAAAAACTACAGATTTTCTCTTTCACTTCTTCCAGAATAGCCCAACAAAAAGCAATTTGTCTGTATAGACTCATTGCTCTTACTCCTTTGGAGGAAGGGAAAAAAGATGGAAAACTGTGACCATTTTCAGAGGCATTCAATCTGTGTTCTGTGTAGATTATGCACAAAAACATCTTCTCTGTTTAAGTCTGAACATTACCACTATTAGTGCAAAGTTGTAATTTACATTAACAAGTGTTTACAACCAAGACTGCAATAAGTTAATTAAAAACCAGTGCAAAAACTGGAGCGTGCCCAGCTTCTGCTTGATGTCAAGCTCTGTCAGCTTGGCTCCCAAATCAAGTTGCCAAAGGTTTCCAACATCCCTACTGAAACTTCAGGGATCAGAAGAGCCAGATCCACTGCTCTGCTGCTCTCCTGGCATTGCTGTAGCTATTCTGATATGAAGTTGTGCACATAACTCTTTGGAGAAGAAGGCTGGCTGCCTTTTTCATCACCAGTTTAAACACTCCATCACTTTCAGTGGTTTCCCACCCCTTGACAAGAGCGAACACATGGAATGTGTTTCTTGTTGCAGATACACAGACATGAATGGGACAAAGCATCTTTCTAAGCACTCCTATTGCTCACGCTTTGAAAGGGTCACTTGTTTGTTGCTTCACAAAGGCACAGCCAGCAGCAGGAGGCTCGTCAAGTGATGAGAGCAGAGCATATATTGTCCTGATCCAGTGGAGAACAGACACTCCAATTGCCTGCTCTTTTCTTTTTCTTTTATTTTCTTTTTCAGTGTATTATTTCTTGAACTTCCACAGCTAATAGAAATTCTCTGGAAAGCAGAAACTCCTGAAGTTTTGGGAGAGTGCAAGTGTTTGTCTAGTGCCAACTTTGCTAAATCACATGATTCCCTGGTCTGATAAACAGTAATTTCTTTTCCATAAGGGAGGCTTGTGATGGGTCAAACTATGTCCTTACGATACTACAGCCTTAGAAATAATGATAATAGTGACTTATAAGGAAAGGCTTTTATTCATAATACTCCTTGACTATGCTACATTGTAAAAAGGCTATGCAAGTTAAAAGGCAAATGTGGTCAGCTTCTGTTACAAAACAAGTTCTTATTCTCTAAAAACTAAACCAGCAAAAAGGCACAAATGATACAATCTTATACAAAATACATTTTTCACGATAAAGCACAATAACAGCAATGCTGTTAGCACTAATTTTGATGAATATATTAGGGAAAAAAAAAGTAGCAATATTTCCCCCTCCCCTCTTGCTCTTTTAATATTGGTGGTGTGTTGGAGATTTCTCTTGGAAGAGGGATGTTCATGGAAGAGCATTCTCCACTTGGTGTAAGCGTTTGGTGAAACAGCCATCCTGTTTCAACATTTAGGAGAGCCTGCTGAAAACTTGTAGGGTTTTTTGATTTCACTACCAAAGCTTCTGAAAGAAAATGAAAACCCCTCATCCTCTTTTACTAGCTCTCATCCAAGGAGCCACTGATTCTCCACATCACATAACCACTCTTACGTGCAGTAAGACTCAACTGGTGCCTGTAGCTGGTCAGAGCAGAATTTGACCCTAAGGCTGAGGCTGGCTAAATAATTGCTCTTACTGACAGTTAGTGTCCTGATCTGAATTTGAAGTTCCCAAGCAGCTGCAGAAGTACTGGCAGTGAGTGAAGATGACAGTGGTATGCCTGATTCTGGGCACAGCATGTCACTGCGCTGGTGAGGAGGGGTCTGGTGCCCTTTGGAGGAGTCTGGAGGCAATGATTGCTCTGCCAGAAGTTAGATGAGGAAGTCCTTGTTTTCACATGTGTAACTTCAACCCCTGCAAACTCAAGCACAGTCTCAGAGGCAGGAGTGGCAGCACCCTGGGCCAAACTTGCCTTTGCATCACTGCAAGGACTGCTGACCTCCAGACCTGTGTTTGAGGTCTCATTTCAGTAAATGCATAAGTGGTAGATTGTGCATTTGGGAAACACAGCAGCATGATGGTATGTGATGGTAGCTGTTCCCTCAGGACACCAGCCTTATCTGATCACACTTTATATCTGCTGGTTCTCCCTTGGCCAACCTGAATCAAGTGCAAGTGAGAGAGGCAGGTCTTGGAGGTCATATTCCCCCCCAAAAATAAGAAAATAGGCCTAAAAGACAGGTGCTTCTAATATACTGTCTCAACCCTTAGGAGACATCAGAGAGTCCCTGTGGGAGTTCAGCCCTTTGAGTGCAATGGGAATTCAGTGGCTTCTCCCTGCGGAGCTGGTGTGTTTAATTGATCACTTAACCTAAGGGCTTTGGATACCACAAAATCTCGTGTGTGAGCTTTTCTGCCTAAACTTGATCTTTTTCTTTTATTTTTTTTTAGATCTTCTGAGGATGTGATAACTTTTGCTTTGTTTTCCCAGGTGCTCAGATAAGCTGTTTTGCACCCAGCTCCTTCTCCTGGCGACAAGCTGCTTATGTGGACTCCTACTGCTGGGCAGCTGTGCAGCAGAAGCAGCCATCCCAGAACAACTTAGAAAACATTCCCCTGTGGCTGCATAAAGTATGTACAGATCTCCTTCTCTTGGAAAAATTGTCCCCATGTGAAAGCCTGCCTTTGCCTCACTTTTCTTGCTCCTCTTCTCTGCGATAGTCCTTGGCTTTGGCTTCACTCTCTATTTTTAGAGAGAATGTTTTCTTTCCCTTACTTCCAAAGAGGGTAGTACTAAAGAAGGTATTTTCTGCTTGTAAATAAAGGATCTGTCGTGCTGTAATAACAAGTATCACCAGTTATCTGACATGAGAGTAATGCTAATGTTGCTGTGTTGCCCTGGAGCTGAGTGCCTCCCCTGGCTTTAGCCAGGAACTATTTTAAAATCAGGATACAAGACACAACAACTGCCCTAATGCTCGTATCAAAAGCTTACTTTAGGAAAACAGGGTAGTAAAAACATTCTGTATTTTTATTGTATTACACTTGGCCAGTTGTGCATGGAGAGGAACGAGAAACTCATGGCAGATTGGCATTTGGGGAAAGATTAAGTTCATTGCTGGTACCAACAGGGCTAACCCTGTTTTCAGTGTACTCTCTGAGCTCCCCTTGCAAACCATGAGCTGGCTTTCACTGCTCCAGGTGAAGCATCATCACACTGAGTGCACAGTAAGAGACTTATTTTATAGGTAAAAAGTGCAGTAGGTACTAAGATACTTGAGCTAGCTCAAAGTGGTCAGCCAAGCTTTGGCAGGAGTTACAAACTGCATAAATGCCATGTCAGTGCCTGGAGCAGACTCAACTGGAAAGGCAGCGTCACCCTGCTTGGGCAGTGCTGATGCCAAAGTAAGAAATGCTGTTGGAGTTCTGCAAGTCTGGAGTGTTGTGTGCTGCCTTCTCCAGCCCTTTTATTACTTGCTTCAGCAAATAACCCCCCTGGCACCTGGAAGTGGTGGAGAACCTGGTGTTAGAGGGACTGCAGCACCTGTATTTCTGTGTTCTGCTGGTTTATCCCATACCTCAGCTTTTATTATCCAGTCAGCTGGTGGTGTCTCCTCTGAAAGACTATTCAGGGCTGTGTTGGATTTGTTTGCTGACTTTTCTGCTTTCTGGGCAGCAGTGCTTTTATTTGCAAAGCATCTCAGTTTCTTTCTAATACTCTGACTCACTTAGCATCTCACTATATTGGCATGCTGGAAGGCTCCATAAAAACTGCTTATGGAGGCTTTATATTACAGTTTTGGGAAAATGAGGTTGTAGGTGCCAATTCCCGATTTAAATTGATGGATTTCCTAATGGCACACTCTGTGCTCTGTCAGAAGTGCTGTCAAAGGTTTGTATCCTAGGGCAGTGCTCAGCGTGGAATAGAGGGGAAGTAGGATCGTGTAGCTCTTGGTACAAAAGCCAACTTGCAGCAACTTGTCCTGCTTTTGTTCTAGGCATCTGGTTGCTCATAAGGATTATCAGAAACAAGTTGCATTACAGAAAAACTGTAACCTTCCCTTTTCCTTCCTATTTCATAGTACGAATTTGTGCTGTGATTTTTAATTTTTCAATCAGTAAAATGTGCATTTCCATTTTGTGCAGTCTCTGAAGCTTGGGTACCTTTACCTGCTGTCCTTTCTGCTCTGGCAGATCTCTCCCAACGCTTTAATTTATCCATTTAGAAACTTGTTTTGGAGTGGAGAGGAGGAGTGTACTGCAACTTTCTGGGATGCCTGACTGGTGGTCTGTGCATTCCTAGAGAGTGCCCTGGGCCTCTCTCCTTGGAGAACAGGAGTTCTGAAATTTCCAGTGATCCTGGAATAACTCTTCACACTGGATAACCCTTAGCAGAAAGCAAAATGAGTGGTGTACTCAAATGCACAATTCATGAAACAAACTATCTGCAGATAGAGAAACTGAAAGAAGAGACTATGGTATGTCCTGCCTATATTCTTAGTTTAACACTAAGATTTCCTCCTCTTAGTCAGTGAAAAAGCTGACAAAACTGTTATATGATCGAGTCCTCTGACAAGACTCATCTTCAGATTTGTCATTGATGAAAATTAGTCTGGTTGGGCTTCACTCTTCTGTTGTCTCTATTTTCTTCTGAGATTTTCCATTCAGGCTTATTTCCCTCAAGAGATTTCCTGTGTGTATCTGAAGTGTCAGAACAGAGAGATTGGTTTCTAAAGATGAACAGTGAAGAGAGACAGACAGTGATGATGTGGGCTGGAAGAGTAATGTATTTGCTCCCTCTGTGCAGATAGTTTGCTTTTTGTCTCTAAAGATGTGTTCCACCTGACAACTTATTTTGATAAAACTTAGCTTGATCCTTAACTGGAATAGAAAGAAGCTTTTGGCCATTGTGAGTGGGCAGTTCTTGCAGTCTAGTGGAGGAGAACACTGCACTGGGAAGCCTTTTTAATCTCTAGTGCACAGAGAAATTTATACAAACACATGCAGAAGAACAGTGCATGTAATATCTTACTGGCTCTTGATACCCACCAGACATGACAGGAACCAAGCAAGTTGAGGGGTAGTCGGACATTGAGTGATGACCTCTCTCTAGCCCTGAAATCTGGATTGCTAGGATGGAGGTGCCTATGATATAGAGATTTCTAGTGATTTTTTTATTTACACTGTGTTCTAGTCTGTTATGAATTGGAGATAATCAAGGATGACAATAAAGGTAAGCAAAGTAGAGGTAAAGGGAGCAGATAGTTCTTCAGAGGAAGGAGATTCATACCAAACAGGCAAGCAGTTCATCTGACTGACAGCAGAAAGAAGAAGTCTTCATACATGGCACAGCTAGGAGAGGTCAGTTGTCTGTCTCAGATCTCTGTAACAGTGCAGGGCAAGTGCTGTGGGACCTACTCAAAGCACTGCACACGAAGAGTGTGTCTGAAGTCTTTGTATGCATGAAGTGAAACTTACCTTGTTGAAAATACTGACTTTTTGTAATAGAAGTAAGATTTACCATGGACCCATGGGTTGTTCTTTGAATTGTTTGTCTGTAAATACACCAAAAAAACCCCTGAGATTCTTAATTTTGTTGTTGATATGATTGTAATGATTGTTATCTGGTTCTTCTTACTCATTGTTTGTTCAACTGCATAGTTGACTGGGGACTCCACATGTTTCACCTATAAAGCCCCACCCAGAGGGATTAAGGGCTGCCAGAGCAAGAAAACCTGAACACAGATGGATTTATAAACCATTCATTGAGAGTGTAGTGTTAGAGCTAGTTCAATCACATTAGTCTTACTAATTGAAACTGGAGAAATACAATTTTTCAGCTGTATCAAAACAGAAAGTAACAGGTGGGGTAAAAAGGTCAGGTATGGTTTGAGATTCACTTTCAGGTCTGAAGGCAGGATAGTATCTCAACCAGAATGATGAGTCATTTATAGCTCACGTTTCTGCCCTGAACACCAATGAAAACATCTCCCATCGACTCAAACAGGAATAGGATTGTGTCCAGAGGCAGCTTAATACCTTTGCTTCTGGAAACATGTCATTGCTGTTGTTAGCCTGTTTGGGGGCTGGTGCCTTTCCTTAGGCTCTTCCTGGTGGCAAATAGAAATTTGGAACTGAAGAAGCAGACACTTCACCATGATCTTAATATTTTAATGAGAAATATTTTCATCTCAAATGAGTGAAGACACTTCAGAGCATCCTTCTTTGTTGAGTACTGTATGCCAATGAATTTTCTGAGAGCTGTAATTCAGACCTGTGCAGCTTAACAGCTTTGTGCTATTGTACTTAAAGTTACTGTTTCTTCACTACTAGGTAGGGCAGAAGTCAGAATGCTTGCAGATAAGGACTGGAGATGCAGTAAACTTATAAAACTGGTGTTTTCTAAATGCCACTAAAGTGGTTTGCATCTTCTGCCAGCCATCTTTATCCAGACCTTGGCAAGCTTTCTGTAGATTAGGTCCATGAAAATGCCTTTTGGGTCACACCACTCTTGGCAACTATATGATAAAAGCATATTTGAGCTTATGAAGAAGTTTTTTAAATGCCCTCTTATTTGCTGTGTACTTACTGAATCTTAGCACAGTTGAAGTTGGGGATGTTATATAATAGACTATTTTGTGATTTAGTCTGATCTTTCCTTTCACCTTCAGGAGAATGTGATGCTAAAGCATCTTTAAAAGACAGTTTCATGATTCCAGTGTCTTAGGTTCTTATGCAAACAGATTACTCAGAGGTTTCTTCTTCTATGCCCGTGCATACATTATGGTTGAATAGTTAGCTGATTTCTAACAAATTAACTTAAACAGACTGATGTCTTCAAAGCTTATTTCCCTGGCCTCCCAATAAGAGGTGAAAAAAATCATGTCATGAGAATATTAGGAATTCACTTTAACATTTGTAGCGCTAGCACTGTAGGTGCATTTATCAGTGAAAGTGTGCATATGTGCAGCGGGAACTGAAATGTAGTGAGGATGGTTCATCTCATTCTGAATATTTATTTGAATATAGATGTTCACAAATTCTGGTAAGACAGACTTGTTTTGGAAAATATGCATTCAGTTTGTGTGGATAATCTTCATGAGAGGAGCAAATGCAGGCACTTGAATAAATGGTCATGACTTCAGAAGAGTTCAGTGTGTTAAATAGATAAGAGGCTTCTGGAGTTTGAACTGCATGTGTGCAGGTCATTTTTCTTCTCCACAATGTGTTAAATAGGTAAGAGGTTTCTAGAGTTTGAACTGCATGCGTGCAGGTTATTTTTCTTCTCCATTCATAGTAGCTAGTATTGATTTAAAATTGCTCAACCTGTTTATAGTCAGTGATGTAAGGAAACAGCACACATCTATGAAGTGTAAGCTTTTTGATGTGCATAAATTATTTGCTTTGATGACAACCTTTATAGCTGCTTTTGCAAGTGTAGAACACAAGACTGAAAACAATGTGTTGTGCTGAGATGGGGGATCAGGGCTCTGCATCATAACACTACTGGACATCCTATTTCCTAAGCTCTCGGTGTCCAGAAAGATCATGCTTTCTGTATTGTAGGGCTTGGTGGACTGTTGTGCCACAGGCTACCAAACAACCATTGTCAGATCTGGTCCTCTTTTCAT